GTGTGTGTGTGTGTGTGTGTGTTGCATGCATATGTGAACACATATGTGTCCATGCAGATGTCTTTATATTTATGTGTGGAGGCTTGAAGTCAGTATGGAGTGATTTCTACCATTGGCAAACTTAGTATTTGAGACAGGGACTCTCAGGGAAACTTCAGCTCAACAGGTAGGCTGAACAGACAGCTGTGGATAGCCATCTGTCTCTTTCGTTTTTTATAACTGTGTTTAGAAGGAGACACTGTAACACCTGGCTCATTAGTAGGTGCTGGAGATCCCAACTCAGGTGCTCATCCTTGCAAGTCAGGCACTTAACTGGATGAGCCATTGTGCCAGCATGCAATTATTTTTCTCAATTTTTTTTACATTTTCATATGATTATGTTCCATGATCATAATTTGGAAACAAGGCTAAGCCTTTTGAACACAATCTAATAAGAAACAGCCAAAAACACTAGTATTTATATTTCCATTTGTTATACAAATACCATAAAATATTAAAAATTACAATTTAATATATAAAGAATGATCATCTCATGAGACAACTTTAGAACATATTTGAGAATTTAGCTAAGGAAATTAGACAGATGTTATTAATTTAGATATTTGGTGGGTGTTGCAGCATGAATTCTTTAAGTCTAATGGAGTATAGTTCATAAATTATGTAACCAGTTATCTTGAAACTTTGTTAGCACCGCAATTTGTGTGACAGGCTCAGAGCTGCGGACAAATAGGTCATTCTTGCTTTAGATTCCTTTTGATGACTAACAATGAGGCAATTAGATGGAATTTTTAATATCTAACAAAAAAAGCAATCTTCTTTTATACCAAAAACGTAAGATTGAAGACATCTATTGAAGTCACCGGTAACTTTCACTCGAGTGTATAAAGATGCCGATATGAATGTGTGTTCAAAAGAATTTGGCATTTTCTATTCAATGTTTAATGTATGTATTATTGCACCGTTGATCTGACCTTCACATGAGGCAAACTAAGCACTGGATAAGTGTTGTGCATGTGACCTTCTGCAGGTATCTTTGTAAATTTTGGAACTATTATAGATTTACTGGACTAGAATACTTAAACAAACAAACAAACAAAACAGAGGATCAAAAACCAAGTCCATTCTTCAATGCTTTCTGTCGGTCTTCCACTAAGTCCACAGCAAAAAGGGACAGGAAGACAGAAGATCAGATTTGTTCTAAGTCTCAGGTTAAAGAATTTTGTTGACCGACAGACATTTCTTAAGCATGTGACATTAGGATGTTTGCTAGGCAGCGGACTCCTAAATATGCAAAATTGTGAATGTGTGGTCCAAGTATAGAGGGAGATATGACATCCCACTTCATAAAGATGTAACATAATGTTCCCTGGCCTTTAGCTTCAATGTGTTTTGTAGATGTATTTCTTGTGCCTATGCATATAATAAACGTGTGTGTAAGTAGTAACGTTTAATACAAAAAGAGGTCCTGGTTTGAAAGAGAGCAAGGAGGGTATATGAGAGGGCTTGAAGCAAAAAAATGGAAAGGGAGAAATAATGTTTTTATGTTATAATAAAAAACTGAAAAAAATAATTTAGGAAAAGGATAGAAAATATTCAAAAATGAGTGCACAAAGAAGTTATCTTTGAGCAGTGTTGTAGTATATGTGCTTTAAAGCCATGCTGGCTCTTTACTCATTGCTGCTGCTTCATATAGACTGTTTCAGTGCAATTTGTGAATGAAATATTGAGGGGAATGCTAAGTGTTAAGTCTTGGGACACTTTTCACTACTGAGTTACCTAATGGTCCAGTTTCCGTCCTGCAGATGCATAGAATGCTTATCCTGTGACGGATTTCTCTCTGTCTCTGTCTCTCACATAAACATACACACATGCTCACTCACAATCACCCAATCAACAATAAAGAAAAAGCTATTAATTTGGGAGTGGAGAGACATGGGAGGGGATGGAGGAGGGAAAAGAAGAACGTAATGAGATGTAATTCTATCTTAATTAAAGCATTAAAAATAAATAAATGAATAATTAAATAAATAACCTTTTCCACAAAAAGGTACTGGAATTTAAAAGAGAAATAGCTTTGTTGCCAGGCACACAACGAAAAGCCAAATAAAAGTTTTCTGGCAAATACATGGTCACAAGCAGGAACACTTGTTTTAGCATGAAGAGATTCTTTCACTTAATACAGAAAGATTTTTTTTTCCAAAAAGAAATGTAAAATAGCTCCAAAAAACCAATGAATGCCAGTAAAGTTTCATGATTTTGAAAGCCTCAAAATTATTAATTTCTTTCAGTGAGGAGTTTTTAAAAATATATGTCTGTTTTAGCCTCTCTCTTGCTTAGTTTCTTTAGATGCACAGATTTTAGTGGGTTTGTCCTATGTTGTATATCTATATGAATGAGTATATACTGTGTGTGTCTTTTTGCTTCTGGGACAACTCACTCAGGGTGATCCTTTCCAGGTCCCACCATTTACCTGCAAATTTCATGATTTCCTTTATTTTTCATTGCTGAGTAATATTCCATTGTATAGATGTACCACAGTTTCTGCATCCATTTTTCAGTTGAAGGGCATCTGGGCTGTTTCCACCTTCTGGCTATTACAAATAAAGCTGCTACAAACATGGTTGAGCAAATGTCCTTTTTGTGGATTTGAGCCTCTTTTGGATATATACCTAGGAGTGGTATGGCTGGATCTTGAGGAAGCACTATTCCTAGTTGTCTGAGAAAGCAACAGATTGATTTCCAGAGTGGTTGTACAAGTTTACATTCCCACCAGCAGTGGAGAAGGGTTCCTCTTTCTCCACAACCTCTCCAGCATGTGTTGTCACTTGAGTTTTTGATCTTGGCCATTCTTATGGGTGTAAGGTGAAATCTTAACTAAAATGCTCAATCCCCATCCTGAAAGGCAAAGTTGATGGACATAAGAAGAAGAAGAAAACAGGAAACAACCTAGGAACCTGCTACAGAGGGCCTCTGAAAGCCAGAAGAAGAAAACAGGAAACAAACTAGGAACCTGCCACAGAGGGCCTCTTAAAGCCTCTGCCCTGCAGACTATCAAAGCAGATGCTGAGCGTGATGGCCAACTGTCGGGCAGAGTGAATGGAATTTTATGTAAGAAGTGGGAAATAGCAAGAGCTGGAGAGGACAGGGACTCCACAAGGAGAGCAACAGAACAAGACAATTTGAACACAGGGAACTTCCCAGAGACTCATACTCCAACCAAGGACTATTCATGGAGATAACCTAGAACCCCTTCACAGATGTAGCCCATGGCAGTTCAGTGTCCAAGTGGGTTACATAGTAATGGGAAGAGCCTCTGACATAATCTGATTGGCCTCCTCTTTGATCACCTCCCCCTGAGGGGGAGCAGCCTTACTAGGCCACAGAAGAGGACAATGCAGCCACTTTTGATGAGAACTGATTGACTAAGATCAGAAAGGAGAGGAGAACCTCCCCTATCAGTGGACTTGGGGAGGGGCATGCATGCAGAAAGGTGAGGAAGGGTGGGATTGGGAGGGGAGGAAGGAGGAGCTTATGGGGGATACAAAATGAATAAAGTGTAATTCATAAAAAATAAAAAAAATATGTCTGGATATGATCTCTTTTCATGAAATTCTTTCCATGGGAAAACATCTTCCTATAAACACTAGGGTTAACTTAGGTAATGTTAACTTAGGTAATGGTAATGTTTAGTAGAGTAAAAACAGTGAGAATAAATCAATAGTAATTCAAAAGTTAGATAAGATGACATTTTGCACTGAAAATTGTCAGTATCATTTTAATAGGCAAGTTAAAGTGTCATATTGTTGTATATATACTAAATATCTACATATATCACACATATATATAATTTTTTTTCTTGAAATCTTTTTCAAAGATGTTTTCATACATTGTTTTCTGGAAGTGTGATTTATATATTAACTTCTTTTATTAAGAGTGTTTGGTTGCAGTCTAGATTCTAAATATTTTATGGGTATGAGCATTGCCTGACTCCCTTGTGTGTGTTAATTCTTCTAACTGATATTAGGAGATTTTCAGTAATGTATTAATTTAATGAATCTCGAAAGAACTGTTACCACTTGACAGTTGCTGATGAGAACATTGCTGATGTCAATCTAACTAAGACTTCGTAAGTTACTTGTACATTAAAGGTGTAACATGTTGATTATGGGTTAGTACGCATGGCTGTAAGTAAGAGACTAACCTTGTGTCTACTGAGATTTTCTCTGAGAGGTGAATGGCAGTGTCTCCCTCACATGTGCAGACTCTAACCTGCGACACTTGCATGTATATACTTGTAAACAGATGTGCATGTGCCTATAGAATAACAGGCACAAAGGAGAAGTAGATGGGGGTGGGCGGGTGATTCTTAGTGCTCTGCTGATTAAAATAATAATAATAATTGCATGGGTAGAACTACTAAGATCATATTGTCAAAAATATTTGTAAACAATGATAATCTTGCCCTGTAGTTTCAAAGTGAGGTACCTAATTCCACCTTATCCCAAGGATTCAGAATCTGTCTAAACATTACCAGATTAACCAGAA